AGGATAAATGTCACTTTCCTGAAATGCAGAGTAATTACTAAATTACTTTTATAGGAGAGGGAGACATAAAGACTTGGAATCAAATTCTGACCTGTCTCCTCTGTCTGTCTCTGCCTCCAAATCTTTCCATTCACCTACATTGAGGTGTTCTGTTTCCATTTAGGCTTCCTCCAAAAAAGGCTGAGATTTACAGAAGTGATGCAGTGTGTCCTTTTGGTAGTATCTAAGGTCAGATTATCAGAAGAGTTTAAGATTCAATTTTCCATGACTGTTCTGGAAAACCTACACACCGGTTTAGATACTCACATGGGAGCTGACCCAGTAGTAGAGTATTTCTAGCAAGGCGTTATTAAACATGACCTGCTTCTCAAAACAGTGCGTCCTTCTAGTGCCGGGTGTCTGGATGCATTAGCCGGTACCTGAAGAAAATTACTGTGGCAGAACCTCATTTGTAAGTTAGTTTAAGAGCTACTCAGGTATCTGACATGAAATTTCCTCATTTGCTTCCAGTGAAACACAGTTTCTTTTGTCAATTTTGGCTTTTTCATTTGCAAAAGGAATACCAGCCTTTACAGACTGAGAGATAATTAATAGATACATTAATACATAGGACACAGAGGACATAAGAGCTAATGTATGTGTGAGTGGGTTTTTCCTATATGAATTTCATAACTACATTGACAGTTATGTTTATGGGCACTAAGAGTCAGCTAAACATGTCCAGTGCTTTCCATTCTAAACCCCCAGTTTTAGCAGCTTGCAATTTTTACAACTTAAATGCCAGCATCTGGCCAAAAAGTGCCATATTAGAGACACCTCTGGCAGCTTTACCCATTAGTCCCTCAAATGGGAGCCATCCCATCCAAGGTTTTGGGAAACGTGCTAATATTGCAAGGCATAAAGAGACTAAGGCAGTGAGCCCACAGGAAAGCCAATGAGGCTATTAATCACCTTGTATTTGGAATTAGGCTAATATGGCACTCAAGAGATAATATTTAAGGACACACGCTAATGAAAGTAAAAGAGAAGTATGGAATAGGGCTGCCCATTCATTGATCTCTGTCCACCCTGTTCAGTGAATGAAGTAGTGTGCCTTAATAAAAATAGCGACAATCACATCCCTAGATTGTGAACAAAAAGTGACTGAGCAGAAGCTTTGTTCTGGCATGCTCAGCATTTAACAATTTGATTAAGTAACCTCAGTAAGGGTCTTTGACGAAGAGGATGGGAGGGATGATATTTTTTGAAGGTAATAACAAAGTGTCCATCAAAGCTGTTGGCCTATTCTTCCTTTGAATCAAAACCAGAGAAAAAAATAGTTAGACTACTCCAAGTTTAGCTTAATTAATTGCTAAGCCTGTTCCTCTATTTCTGATCCACCACAAATTGAAATGATTCTAGGTGGGTTAAGACATTTCCATGAGTACTACATACCAGCAGCTTCCAGCTGTGCTTTAAGGTAGGCAGAGGGGAATGTCTGCTAATGGGATTAAATGGTAGGCTGCAGTCAGGCTCTCAGCTATTTAGGGGGGCAGGAAGCAAACAAGAGAGTGATGGCCAGGCTTGCAGATCATCAGAGTATGTTCAGCAGAAGTCCCTGAGGAGAGTGTTTTAGTATCCCAGGCTTTACCACTTCTGCGGGAATGCTGCCCCTTCCAGACACTGCTCTGGCTATCTCAGATGCGGACACTCTCTCCTTACTCTTCCCCTTCCCCATGCTTCAATCTACAGAAAGATTAACCCAGTGGGAATAACCACACCACAGAGAGTCTTTCAACTTCAGACAAGCCCTGGTACCCTATGACAGATATGTGAAATGATACAAATCCCCTTCAAATAGTCTGCCCCCTTGTGGCGGTGGTGGTATTTTTATATATTATTTTTATTGTTGTTGTTAGTACTACTACTATTACTATTGTAATAATTTTTTTTTTACTTTTAGTCATTAATACCACTTATTTTCTACCATTTAATGTATGTTCAGACAAAATTCCTAGATTTCTCATGCTCTCTGGAGGAATTTATTGGCAAATAGTGTTTCAACACATTGCTATATGCATGGCATAATGACATACATCTTCTATACCAGCTTGACTATAGGACTTTCCCTGTACTCACTGACCTTCACATAACTCGTTTGCAAGATCCATGTTCTGCCTGCTTTTCTCTCATTTCAAACTACCAGGGTGCCTTCCAAAACCCACCTCAATCAGGCAACTGCAAAGTCAACAAGCTTGCTTACATGAGAGGCCAAAAAGTGATGCAGCGGGTCAAACCCTGGTCTCATTTATACCTTTACTGAAAGTGGATCTGTTTGCCTTCGTAATGTGAGCTGTGGCTGTGCCTCAGTTCTGAAGCTCAAGAACTCAGATACATTGCCCATATGTAGTTGTCTAATCTCTGGCACACAGTTTTGAAATAGCTTAGCCATGATTCTCTGAGGAGGTTTGATTTAGTGTGATGGAGATCAGCAACTGAAGAAGAAAGAATTATCCTGGGGAAAAAAGAAAATGTGTCTTGTAGAAGTGCCGTTTTCAGAGCTTGAGATATGGTAGTCAAGTGTAAATACAGAATAAGACTGCTTCTTTAAGCCCTTTAGTTATTCCTCAGTGGGAGGCAGGGAGATACACGCAAATTACTTTCAAGCTGCCTGGTCCCACAGTAAACCAAGTAGTTAGAAATGACAATGAATTAAAGATTGAAGGTTTTGGTAGTTCTAGGGAATTTCATTTTGATTTACAAAGCCTTCTTGTAGACTCAAGTGTGTGACTGAAATACTTTTCCTCTCTTTGAAGCCACTACTTACCTATCCACAGGTAACAAATGTCATTCAGCAATAGAAACAGTGTTGCTCTTTTATAATTTATTGTCTTACTCATTTTCACATGACCACAGATTTCTGTTCTGAAGAAGCTGGGGTTTGATTTTGGAAAGTAGCACAGATACTTTGCATTCATTTTGCACCTCATTTGGATGTGCAGTTATACTGATAAATGTGTATCATCTTCTGTGATCACATGGTTATAATACGTAAGGAGCAATACCCACCTTGTAATGTTAACATTAAAATGGCTAGAAAAGTGTAACACAGCCAGCAGAAAGTATTGTGAGACTGATTGCCTTTTCAGCTGAATGTCAGGAGTAACTTGATAAGAGTTATGCCAGCACAGACCATCGTGAGAGGATAATTAGACCCAGCGGAAGCACTGATGCTACGTATGTGTTGTACAGGCAAAGTATGATACTGTTTTCCTTTTTTTTCATTCCACCCTACAAATATAATAAAAAAATGTGGAGGAAGTTCTGATTTCTCACCGTGTCAGTTGTTGACCATGAGGAAGGGTGATTCAGCATTTCATCATCAGTAATAAAAGCACAAAGCCACAGAAGTCAATATTGGTTTGAGCATGTGTTATTGAAAAGAAACTATAACTGAAAAAAAATCCTCACAGCACAGTAATCCAAGTGCAACCATGCAGAAAAAATAAAAACCAACCAAACGCCCCCCCCCCCCCCCCAAACCAAACCAGCAATATGTTCCTGTAGTAAATCCTGTGTTTACCAGGAAAAAAGACCCCAGGAATGAAGCTAGGTGTCCTCACATACCCAAGCAGTGAGGCACCTTGCATTGGCTTAGCCAAGAGGGGCTGGGCAGGCAACAAGCAGGGGGCAGGCACTGACCCCACTAAAGGGTAGTCACCGGGGTGCACCCCACACTCAACCCCATTCACTCCCCATCTCTCCAGCTGTCTCTGTAGTAAGGTGGGGAGGATGTCAGTTCCCTGTCCTTCAAGAAGCACATAAGTGAAATGTCTGAGCCTGGCTCACTGCAACCGCCCCTGGCTTCCCCAGCCTGCCTCCGTCTGGCTTGAAAGTGGCCACTTCATGGACCTCTTCCCTGAAAGTGGTCCTGTCAAGGTTTGGGTTTTGCCACCAACTTGATAAGCCCTTCCCTGAAGTGCTTCTTTCAGACACAGCATTTCACTGAATGAAGTCAGCAGCACGTACATGGAGTTAACTACTCAAATAACCAAGAGCTACATGAGTACTTTCAGATGCAGGATCCTTCTGACTAATATTCCTATCATGTCTGACTAATGAGGGCTGGTTAAAATGTCAAGAGTTTTGGGTTTTTTTTTTTTACTACCTTGTTTCCTACTCACTCTCACACTAGATGATAATGAACTGACATGTTTACTCATTCCACTTATACAGCCCTGGGGATAAAAGAGTTGCTGCAGCTTAACTGCTTCTGCGTAGTTTAGGAAGTCTTACGGCTGATGAATAAGAGTGACCATTCCTGCCTGGAAGCAAACAGACTCAGCTCTGTCATTTAAGAGTATAGGTCCACACTGAAGATAATGCAGAACTACCGTTGCCCAAGTGGGAGAAGTCTGCTTCCTGTAAGGCAAAATTTCTCTTGGAGCTCCCCTACCTGTGGCACTGAACTTTTCCACTGCTCAGGGATGAGCCCAGGGAGGTGAGAGCAGCAGTCCCTAGGTGCATGGGTGGGCAATGGTAAGGGACCTGGCTTAGCCTTCTCACACACCCCTGGAGCTACCGCTCACCCACAAGACTTGGCCCTCCACTGATGGCCTGGCTCCCCAGTGCAGCTCCAGAGTCTGGGTGCTCCTTCAGTGGCTCCCTCAGCCATACATGAATCTCACGTCAAGCCCTTTCAAAATAGCAATGAGATTTTGCTTGATGTTCATGAGCCAGAGACGTCACTGTTAAGACTATCATACAACAGAGCATAAACCAATATATATCTAAAGGCAGCAATAGCCTAGGAAACAACCTGGGGGAGAAATGCCTAAAATGGAGAGGCTTTAAAGAAAATGCATGTATGAATGTACATTAAAAAAAAAGCAGGCATGGCGAAGAATGCTGTCAGTATTTACCCTACTGCAACTGACCTCCCCATCAGTTCTTTCAGGTCATTTGTTAAATGCATGGAAACTATTGATTTTGTCTAATTAAATCATTTCCATGCGTTTCAGGGACAAACGCTAAGCACGGACTGCGCTGTAAGGCTTGTAAGATGAGCATCCACCACAAGTGTGTAGACAGTATTGGACAACAGCGTTGCATGGGCAAGCTGGTAAGTGAGCAGCTCAGGGCAGCAAGTGCGGTGGGAGGCACCAGCTTGTGCTGGAGCCACCTGCTTTGCGTTCCTGACCCCCCCTGCCTGGCCTTTAGCTGGTGCATTAACAGAATTGGCACGAGGTTGCTTTACTGAGGTGGGAAAAGTAAAGGCAAGTGGTGCCCTATTATCAAGTTGGGCAAGTGCTACTACTCAAAAACCTGAACAAAAATGTAACGCAAAATCTTGACTGAGTTGTGGATGTGAAAATGCAGTTACATAATCCAAATTTAGCTAAATAACAGAATTAATTATCTTGATTTAAACTATGCTTGCTGTAGTGTAAATCTCTCAAGGAATGCTATAAATTAGTAAAAATATTTCAGCGGAGTTTAACAAATGAAAAATCCTTGAAATTATGTTTTATTGGTTTTGCCACTGTTAGGGCTTGAATAAAAAACATAATTCATCTTAAAAAGAAAACCAAAGGACACTTCAGTATTCACAAAGTGAAACACTACAGAGTTTGAAGCAATCTCCCAGTAGGAGAGGCTGGGAGGAGACCTGCCCCTGTACAGACACAGCACCTTAGTGCTCGGGTCACCTTCTGAGGAGCAAATTCTCATTATTGGCAAAGGCAGGACACTGTGTTTGAGACGATGCTAACCCAACTTGATAACTTTTATAGAAGTATGGTTCTTTTGGTTACTTCTAGAAAAAGAGCTTGGAAAAGTGACCATTTAGAATAAGAAAACTGAATACATATATTCATGTTTCAGATGCTCACAGATTTGTTGCAACCTGAAGATACCCGAGACAAATATGAGCTAAACCCAAACAGTTTCACTGTGTTCAATGATTAAAAAAAATCAAGCATTGACTTCAAAAGGGCTAGAAAACCCACCTTTCACTGGAAAGATCTTTTCTCTCCAAGAGTATTCAGTGAATGTTGTTTATACACCTGAGGCAAATTTTTATGCATTTAAACCATAATCATAGCCCTAGTGTGAGGCATTCTGGTATAGAAAATTGGTCTGTAAAGAGCTGAATGTCCTCATTGCAAGCCTTGGACAAGCCAAATATTAAATCACATGAGCTGTTTCGTGCATTGCTTGGTTCCAATCTCAGCTCTTGTGGTCACTAGTTTAAAAAAGCAGAAGTAGACACCAAGTTTACAGCAGGAAGTTGTCCAGCAAAGTCCTTGGAGTTTTATGAGCTCATGTCGTGTCTGAATCTAGTTTGGGGGCAAACTGAGGCTGGGGAATCTGAAATTTATTCCTCTAAGAAAGGAAATTTATCAACCCCCTCATTCCTTCTTAATCTATACTGCAGCTAATTAACAAAAGAACTAGTTGTCTGTCACTTTTTTGGTGTATACTAAACATAGGACACAGAAAATATGCACATCCCTATGAGGCTTTCCCACTTCTCACTGTGACTGGAAGACCTCACAGCCTGCAAAGATTAGAAAACTGAAAGACTGTTCTTGAAACTCTAATACCTTGAAGGGTATTTCCATCTTCATTTTGGGTACTTATCTGGTGATGACTTGGGGGAGCTTTTTGACCCTACAAGACAAAAAAATCAAACCTTAGAAAAAGTCTATAGAAAGACTCTAAATTCCTTGGGTTTCACAAGTGCGTGCATGGGAACATGAGGATTTGGAGTTAGGGTAGGGAAGAATAGTCGCATGTTTAGCAGATGCAAAACAATGCAAATTCACATTATGTAAGAAGAAAGGGAGAGGGAAACTTCCCAGAACCTCTAATGATTCAGCACTTCTGCTGCAATTAATTAGTGCTGCTTTTGTATAAGAAAAAAGAAAAAGAGGAGCTGAAAATGAGTCCCTTCTCCTTCCCCCATAAATACGGGAAATTGTTTTTTTCCAGGAGAAAAATCAAATAAATCCCTGATCTATAAGCCCCACAGTGACTCAACACCAGGAGGCAAATTTCCAGCCTTGCCACGCTGTTATGCCACTAGCCAAAGAGCTGAGGTTATTTCTACCATGTCAGTCGTGGCAGCAATGCACTTCATTTGTTTTTGCTTTCTCTCCCTCCAGCCAAAGGGATTTCGACGGTACTACAGCTCACCACTTCTCATTCATGAACAGTTTGGCTGCATCAAAGAAGTGATGCCTATTGGTAGGTTTTGATTGCTTTTCCATTCAGTCTCCCTTTGGCAGTGCTCTGCAACAGCAGCGGCAGACTTCCAGCCGTGGTATTTACCCTCAGCAGCCTTCCAGCTCCTTTCAGTGACTGGATGTCCTTCTGCCATCTCAGGAAAGGACCACTTCAAAGATACAAAGCTGGAAGAGGAGAGGGTGTGTTTATTGTGCGTTTCACTCAAAACCCCATACATATAACCTCTTAGTAATCACCCTGTGATAATAACTACCTGATAATTACCTATGATAATAACTACCTGAGCTCAGGGTAGGAACTTAAAAGGGAGGAAGCACTAGAATATTGAGTTGAAGGTCTAAGCTGGAAAGAAACAGATAAAAGACAGAGAAATCAAAACAGTGGGAGATGTTCAAACCACTGATCTGGCTTTTGAGGGACTTTGATAGGTTCCTGTCCTTTTTCACCCACACTTCTTACTTTCCTCATATTTTTCCTTATTGGCCATGTATACACACTGTCTGAGTATTTAAAAGACCACATTTAGCTCACTAATACCAAATTCCTGAAAAGAAACATTTTGAAATGGAGAAGCTGAGTTAATTCTGGAAAATATTTCTCCCCATCAGTAGTACACTGACCAGGCAAGCCTGGCAGTACGAAAAATGAAAGCCAAAATTAGGCAGTCAGTTTAAAGTGACTTGTCTGAGGCCATTTACTTTGTCATTTGCAGCAGTTAAAAAAAAAAAAAAAAAAAAAAAAGTGAATTACATGGATTTCATGTAATTCATTTTTTCTAAAAAAAATCCATAATTTTTGTCAGAAGTAATGGAAACATTTTGAAGAAATTCTGGCTAAAAAAATGAGATCTGTTTTGCTCTCATCAAAATTCAAAATCCCATGTATTTTCTCAGTACTTTGGCCAAAATTTCCCTCCTTCTACACAGTGCTACAAATGCACTGCGTTCTATGTTTTTACTGCCTTGTACTTCAAGGGAGTCTGAGGTCTAATAATGCAGTATGTAAAAGAGGATTTGACCTGGATTTGCTCAAGCCAGTTGAAGACATCCATTTCTCTGCCATGGATGATGACTTTGGGGCCAGCTGTGAGGTAGAGTGGGAATGAGAATGGAACCAATATATGCCAGTGGGGGGAAGTGGCCTTTCTGGATACCCCTAGTCTGAGCTGAGCAACCTGGAGCACATTCTCAACAGCAGGTACCTACTCACACCCACCTCCAGACCCTATATGGCCCCACAGTAGGGGTGTCAGTACCTTCAAGGAAGATCCAGGCCATCCTGTTTACCCAAATTAGCCAAGTAGTAGCACTGTGATGGTGGATGGATAAAGATGATGGGCCCATTCACACCACAAGGATACTCAGGCACAATGCAGGGTTTTTGCCTTCAAGCACCTACTGTTGAGAGCAATTCAAGATGTCAGTGGTAGGAACAGCCAGAAAGCATGGATTAAAGCCTTCCGGTACTTTGTCTTCCTTACCTCAGTGTAGGCAGCATCAGTGGTGATTAGAGAAGGAGGATGGCAGGTAAAGAGACACAAGGCAAGGGTGGGGACCCAAAGAGCCTGTATGAGAGGAGGATGATCTTTACAGGAGCAGAGAGACAGCAGAAAATTGCTAGCAAAAGCCAATTCCATTGAGTTCATCAAACACTTAACAGGACAGTCTCTCAACTTGTGTCTAAGCATACACCCCAACATGTTGGGGTAGAGGCAGGTGTTTCTTCAAGTGGAGCAGGAACATAACCAGAAATATCTTCAAGGGATTGATGCATGTTTTGCTCCTTCTGTTGCAGCTTGTGGAAATAAGGTTGACCCTGTGTATGAAACCCTCCGCTTTGGGACTTCCCTAGCTCAGAAAACCAAAAAGGGCAGTTCTGGAAGTGGGTCTGACTCGCCCAACAGAAACTCTGTAAGTATCCATCTTTCTTCCATTGTCTTTGTGGGGGAGCAACAGATATTCATTCACAGGAATTTGTATCAGAGTTCACAAAACTTGTATTTCAAACTGTAAAAAAATTAATCTCACTCCCAGCTTCCAAAATGAGACCAGAAAACACATTATTTTTGCAAACTGAGGGTTTAAGTATCTTTTAGATGACTCTTGAGAAAAAGAGAAAAATACGAATTAATTTAATAATCTGTTATCAGGTTGGAAAAGGAAATTATATTCTTTTGATTTTGCATATCTGTGTAAAAGTGGAACAGAGATATTTAGATGTCTGGAGTAGATGCATCCTGCCTCTTGGTGGTGGTGGGCATTTACCTTTCATACAAGTGATAGCAATGGGTTGGAGTCCTCAGGTCCTAGATTTAAAAGTACAATCTCCATAGTACAAACCTAGCCAAAATTAAGCCACTGCTACTGCAACAAGGCAAGGAACTGGCACTTCCACCCCTGCCCAGTGTAGACTCAGGAGGGAATCATCACAGAGTTGTGCTCCTCTCTCTCCAAAACCCAAATACAGGCAGGTGTGCTCGGCTTGGTGTATCCAGACAGGGAGATTTTCACCTTCATGTTAATCCTTGTCATTCACTCTCTCCTATCATAATAGTCGCTTCTTCAGGACCATGGCAGAAGGACTGGAGAAGGAGGACAAGGGAAATGATAGTTCCCTTAGATCTGCCTTTCCTAAATCCATACCTAGCTCAACAATAACAATAGCAATTTCTTCCTTAGATAAATGGTTATTTCTACAGTATTGGGACCCATGAGATCAGGAACTCATACATGGTGTTGAAAGAATGTTTCATACCCTTTCACCTCTCATAAACGGGCACTTAAGCTTGTGCTTGGGGGTCTCTTTTTTTTCCCCAAGAAATCCTTCCCACTCTCCTCGTGTCCATGTCCGTCCTCCCCCTCCAGAAAAAAAACCACACCTGAATACACTGGAGGCTAAACCCAATTGTCATGCCTGGAAATCAGACCCGCGTCATCTAAAACTCTCTCCTGCAGTCACCTCAGAATAAAAATCACCAGGCACAGAGACAGGATGAGACTTGGTCTCCAGACCTCAGAGCAAATACTTACATGTTTAATTTAAAGTTGCACTAAGATCTGTCTATGTTTGGTAAAACATTTCCCTGGCACTTAAATGTATGCTCACTCACGTGGCTGAACTGTAACCTCAGGTAGTATAGGTGGCCTCTAAACAGACGTTCATTTGTGTCAGATGGGGAAGAGGATGGACAAATTTAAACAAGAATTAAGTGAAATCTGCAAGGCAGTTTTTAAAGGACATGTCCTCTATCCACCCTTGTTTGTGCCTTAAAAGGAATTTAATAATTTCCAGTCTTTTTTTTTAAAACCCAAAGTGATGCTACCACCTGTCACATTGTGATTACAGTTCTTTCTTTCAATTATTTAATTTACTTTGAAACAGAAGTTCTACAAATGTAATTATTGTTTTCTAAATCAATAAAGCATTATGTTGAATTATGAATGACAATTCAAGTGTAGAAATCACGAATCAGCATTTGATTCGTGTCAGTTTGCCCTAGGGAGCTGATCATAACTAGGTGGGATGTGGGTGTAAAATGAGGAACGCAAGTTCATTATGGGAATTTCTCCAGGGTATTGAGTCTGAGAGAGAATATAACATGTGTCAGCATACAGCAAACAGAAACCATTAGAGAACTGAATAAACAGACATGTGAAACCGTAACTTCTGCCAGTGTAAGCCTGTGGTTTGAGACAAGGATAAAAACCAGAGGCAGACACAACCCTGATCCAAATGATAGAGCCATGGAGCTTTACAACTGTGATATGTGACCCAGGAGCAGGCACTGACCAGTGACCAGAGCAGGGACATGACCAGAGCCCTTAGAACCCAGACAAAAATGCACCAGAGCATGTGAGCTAGCAGCACATCTGCAGTTAATAACACACAGGGACTAAGATTTTTCCCCAATGATCCTCACTTCAGTGCTACTCTGCTCCTCCCAAAGCAGAAGCAGGCTCACAGCAGCACTGGGGCTTTGCAGCTGGGCTGTCCCCCAGCCCTGGGAGCTGCAGAGTTCTTCAGGGTTCTGCCATGTGATGAAACCAGGGTCACTGGGGACATGGTGACACCTGGGATCCTACTGCACCTTGCAGGTGGTGCCCAAGCTGTCAAAGGGCTTGCTCTGGGTCAGAGCAGCATAGCTGT